CTACTGCTACTACTACTACTACTACTGCTACTGCTAGGCTGCTACTACTACTACTACTACTACTACTACTACTACGACTACGACTACGACGACTACTACGACTACTACTACTACTAAGACTACTACGACTACTACTACTACTACTACTACTACTACTACTACTACTACTACTATTACTACTCTACTACTACTACTACTACTACTACTACTACTACTACTACTACTACTACTACTACTACTACTACTACTACTACTACTACTACTACTACTACTACTACTACGACTACTACTACTAACTACTAATTACTAACTACTAACTACTACTACTACTACTACTACTACTACTACTACTCCCACTCCTCCCCCTACTCCTCTGCCTACGTCGTCGTCCTACTCCTTCCTCCTTCCTCCTCCTCCTCCCCTCCTCTTCCCCTCCTCCTCCTCACCTCCTCCTCCTCCCTCCTCCTCCTCCTCCTCCCACCCCCCTCCCCCCTCCCTCCTCCTCCTCTCCTCCTCCTCCTCCTCCTCCTCCTCCCCTCCTCCTCCTCCTGCTCCTCTGCTCCTCCCCCTCCTCCCTCACCTCCCTTCTCCTCCTCCTCCTCCTCCTCCTCCTCCTGCTGCTCCTCCTGCTCCTCCGCCTGTGCTGCTTCCTCCTCCTCTCCCTCCTCCTCCTCATCCTCCTCCTCCTCCTCCTCCTCCTTCCTCCTCCTCCTCCCCTCCCCCTTCTCCCTCCTCCTCCTCCTCCTCCTCCTCGTCCTCCTCCTCCCTCCTCCATCCTCCCTCCTACCTCCTCCCCTCCTCCCTCCTCCCTACCTCCCTCCTTCTTCCTTCCCCCTTCCTCTCCCCTTTCCCCCCACCTCTCGCTCGACCCCTCTGCGTTTAGATAGAATCATAACCTCCTCCCTCCTCCCTCCTACTTCCGCGCCCGCGCATCGGGCACACCAGGCCATTTCACTTTTCCCACTTCCCTTCCTGGCGCTTCCGCTTACTATGGTCGGTTCCGAGGGCGGGTTTGGGTTTGTTGGCGGGGACGAGGTTCGTACCGCGGCGTTGGATCAGGCATGGGCCACAGGTCGAGCGTGCGAAATCGTGCACTCCCTCTGGCCCCTGCCTCGCACCCGCCCACTCGGCTGCCGTTTCGGCCGTTCGCAGGTCATCTCACCCGCTCCCCGCTTTGATCTGCCTCCCCTTGCCTCCTGGTGCTTCTCTCTCCGTTCGGTCTCTAGCTGCCGCCCCAGTTCGAGAGGTTTCGAGCGCCGTACCAGGTACGGCGAACCTCTCTCTGGGCGGGCACAGACATGCGCGCCGTTTAGGCTTGTTGGGGGGATGCGGTTCGCAATGCGGCGCTGATGCATGCAGGGGACACAGGTCGAGCGTGCGAAAATCGTGCACTCCCGCGGGCCCCTGCTTCGCACCCGCCCACTTAGCTGCCTTTTCAGCCCTTCGTAGGCTATCTCACCTGCTCCCCTCCTGATCATACCTCCCCTCGGCCTTGCCCCTTATCCTTCCCTGCCGGTGCAGAATGAGAGCTACGTCGAGCTGGCCATCAGTCATGCCAGCCACGTGCAGTTCCGTCCAATCTGGGGGTATGTGGGGTCCAGACGGGGGCGGGTGGACTCACCAAACCTTGGCGCCCGTGCTGCATGTACGCAACGTTGCATCGTTCCCAGTTGCCACAGCCAGCGTCTGCATCTAATTGAGTGCCGCACTAAGCTGACCGCCTCCTCGGCGAATCAGAGCGCAATCCAAAAAATCCTCCTCCTCCTCCTCCTCCTCCTCCTCCTCCTCCTCCTCCTCCTCTTCCTCCTCCTCCTCCTCCTCCTCCTCCTCTCCTCCTCCTCCTCCTCCTCCTCCACCTCCTCCTCCTCCTCCTCCCCTCCTCCTCCTCCTCCTCCTCCTCTCTCCTCCTCCTCCTCCTCATCCTCCTCCTCCTCCCTCCGCCGCTCCTCCCTCCTCCTCCTCCTCCTCCCTCCTCCTCCTCCTCCTCCCTCTCCTCCCTCTCCTTCCCCATCCCTCCCTCCCTCCCTCCCTCCCTCCCTCCCTCCCTCCCCCCTCCCTCCCTCCTCCCCCCTCCTCCCTCCCTCTCCTCCCTCCCTCCCTCCCTCCCTCCCTCCCTCCCTCCTCCATCCCTCCCTCCCCCTCCATCCCTCCCTCCCTCCCCCTCCCTCCCTCCTCCCTCCCTCCTCCCTCCATCCTCCCTCCTCATCCTCCTCCCTCTCCCCCTCCCTCCTCCCTCCCTCCCTCCTCCCTCCCTCCCTTTCTCCTCCCCTCCCCCTCCTCCCTCCTCCTCCTCCCTCTCTCCCTCCCCCTCCTCCCTCCTCCCTCCCCTCCCGCCTCCTCCTCCTCCTCCTCCTCCTCCTCCTCCTCCTCCTCCTCATCCTCCTCCTCCCTCCTCCTCCTCCTCCTCCTCCTCCTCCTCCTCCCCTCCCTCCCCTCCCTCTCCTCCCTCCCTCCCTCCCTCCCTACCCTCCCCTCCTCCCTCCCTCCCTCCCTCCCTCCCTCCCTCCTCCTCCTCCTCCTCCCCTCCTCCTCCTCCTCCTCCTCCTCCTCCTCCTCCTCCTCCTCCTTCCTCCTCCTCCTCTCCTCCTCCTCCTCTCCTCCTCCTCCTCCTCCTCCTTCTCCTCCTCCTCTCCTCCTCCTCCGGGCCCTTTCGGGTGTTGCTAGAACCTGCTGATGCCGGCAGCGGCAGGGCAGCCGATGTGCTCGGCGCGGCAGCAGTACTCCTTCTTAACGTCAAAACTGATCGCAAGGAGGCGCGATGAGTTGAGTAGGGCTGGGGGGTCAGGTCTGCAGGACCCCCCAAACGGACGTCAAGGGGCGCAATCAAACTGTTCAGTCATGTTGAAAATGATGCACCACGATGGGCGTCAAGCCAAAACTTTGGACATACGCGAATGGTTTGGACTTTGCATATCTTCGTCGGCTTAATCGGCAAGGCGTTGAACCTCCTTGACGGTTTTTTGGTGGTCCTGCAGAGAAAGGCGCTCTCTGACCCTCGGTCCTACTCAAGCGATGAGGATGCAAAAGCTCCGTGGGCGCCCGTGTCGAAGTTTTTGAGCGGGCTGGCCATCGAGAGGGGTTCGGGATGGACCGAGGAGGCAAGGATGCAGGGGTCCCCTTGGGAAGATTGCCCGTCCTTACTATCGATTTCGACTGTAAGC